CATATATAAATCTTTATTCTCTCTGTTTTATCTCTTGTTCAATTGAACATATTTTGATCCAATACGGTTCAAAATTTTTATCCGCTCTTAATCTCATCTAGATTTAATCCTTTGAAGGTATATATTTCTATATATGTGTATATGTTCCTTGATATATATGTATATGTAAACGTATGTATTTGTAAATCTAGATATTGGTAAATCATTGTTTAATAATTGTTATCTGTGGAAATTTTCAATTTTGGAATTCCTATTGTTTAAAAACGTTACAAAGTCAGGTAGAAGATTACCCAAGTGATACCCAAGACACAGTATAGTGCTTTTAAAGCACTATACTGTGCCCAAGATACCTGTGACGTAACAAAAATTCCACCCTTTTGTCAAGGAAACATTGTATTGTTCTCGGTCACGTTTATTCTTAAAAATTGCTTCCACGGAGAAACAAATAGCAACATGTAGCAACATTTTTGTTGCCTGTGTTTCTTCTTGTTTGTAAATTTAGGAACTTATTAGCAACAATTGTAAACTTTTTATTTCCACTGACAGAACTTTTTGTTTCCGTCGTTTTTGATAACTGAGAGAGAGCAACTTAGTGTTTCCACCGCGGTTGGTAAACATGGATCAAGATGATGAAATGGCTGCAGCAGCGGCGGCCTATATAGTGTTGTCGGCAAAAAAGAAAAAAAGAAAGCACAAATGTTGGGTGAAACCAAGTCTCTGTGATAGAAGTGAATATGGTGGCATGCATCTACTCAATGTATTAAAAAAAGACGATGTATACATAGGAAATAATAAAAATAATGGTAGTGTCAAAAATTTTTTACGAATGTCCAGCACCGATTTTGAATGGTTATTATGTCAAATTGCCCCCAAAATACAGAAAGAAGATACAAATTATAGACAAGTCATTTCACCAATGAACGACTACTGCTCACACTGCGATTCCTTGCAACAGGCGATTCTTACCATTCCTTGATGTCCTTGTTCAAAATTTCGGTATCATCAATTAGTAGAATTATACCAGAAGTATGTAAAGTAATCGCTGAAGTTCTGAAGTATAAACTTAAGGTAAGTAGATACCTCGGTAGATATACAGCTTTTCAATCAAATGACATAATGTAATTAGTAGTAGACATTTTATTAAATTTTAATAAAAACCAATTTTTTGAAGTGTGAGAAAAAAATTAACAAGATATTCTATTTAAATTCTAAATAAAAAATTTAAAAAATCTAATTAAAAAATTAAAGAGATATTCTTTTTAACAAATAATATTTTATCAGTAATTTACATCAAGTCCTGCATCTGACATGGCCAGACGTATCGCATCAGATATAGATGATTCTTGAAGATTTCTACAAGGCTGCTTTTCTTTTGAGAGTGTCGAATTGTTTGTCTCTGTTTGGGGAAGATAGTTAGTTTCATAACAAGAGCTATTTGGGGATGGCATAGGTGTGTGTGTTGTTTGAGGCTGGTGATGTTACAGAATCATTGGTACTGGATGAGTAATAGTTCTGGTTATCTGAATAATATCTTGCTGAGTTGTTATTGGCCGAAGGTGTATGCCAACTTTGATAACATGGAAATGGCTGATCGTATTTACCCATAGATGCGTCATACAAAATATTAGAGATCAAATGCTCTACCGTATTTTTAGCGTTTTCATTTTGAAGATTTTCGATTTACAAGCAACTAGTTCGCCGAAAATTTGGAACCGATTACGTGGCTTTTTATTTTGTAGCTGCTTCAGCAATACATATGCCTCTTCATGTCGTTCGTCAGTTTTCACATCAGCTTGTCTTTTCTTCATTGTCTTTGGACTTTTAAAGAGCCTAGGTCCCTGTTTACTTTTTGTAGTGCTGCTTGTGGAAGGCGTTGGAGATCTGGTTCTGTTTTCATTAGGCTTTGTAGGTGTTTCAGTAATAGCAGCAACAGTTTGTTCAGAGTGTCGACGTCATTGTTCGCCTCTCTAACAATAAAAGAAGAATCAGTTACTGCATCTGCCTCGTCTGCTATATTGGAATCTTGCGATTCAACTTCCCGCTGTCCGTTGCACTGCTGTCTGACCCATCATCTTCACCCTGAAAATTAAAAATATATTTTTACTTCTTACTCTTTTAATATGAAATACAAATTATATTTAAAGCGAGAGAAGTTTTGATTAAACAAATTTACCGGTTTTTAATTTTTCAGATGCCTTAGAGTAGAGAGGAGTGGCTTATTATGGGACATCAATTCGCTAATCTTTGGAATTTTCCTAAATGTGCCGGGGTTATGGATGGCAAACACATTATGATACAAGCACCAAAACATAGTGGCAGTGAATTTTATAATTATAAGTCCTTCTTCAGTGTGGTGTTATTTATTGTGGCCAACGCAAATTATGAGGTGATGTATCTTAATGTGGGCAGCCAAGGTCGTATATCCGACGGTGGAGTGTTTGACAGTACTCATCTCAAAAAAATGTTATATCAAAACACGCTCAATTTGCCTGAATTAGAACCATTGCCAGGAAGAACAAAAGCTGTTCCGTTTGTTTTTCTAGGAGATGACGCTTTTCCCCTATCACCAAACTTATTGAAACCTTACCCTGGCACTCCAGAAAGGTTCCTCAAAACGAATTTTTAATTACCGCTTGTCACGCGCTAGGCGTATTTCTGAGAACGTTTTTGGAATCATGTCTGCTAGGTTCAGGGTATTAAGAAAACCCATGCTACTTGAACCCGACAGAGTGGAATTAGTTGTTGCTGCATGTGTATATCTCCATAATTTTCTGAGAAGCAGTTTACATTCCCGAAAGTCATACTCACCTCCTGGCACCTTTGATTCAGAAGACAAAGATACGGGCGAAAGGATCCCAGGTTCTTGGAGAAACGAAATAAAGAACAATATGTTTGCATCACTGCAAAAACAAGCACGTAATTCAACGTTGGAAGCTAAACAAGTTCGAGATGAATTTGCTCAATATTTTATGTCACCCGAAGGAATGGTTCCATGGCAAAATAATTTTTAACTTTGTATAAAAATTACAAATAAAACAAAAAAAAAATACGTACCTCACTTGTAGTTATTCCTTTTTCAGTACATTTTCTAACTTTGTTCCTGCCCGCAAGAAACAACAAGACTTCATAAGCAAACCATTTTCAAATAAATACGGCGCCGGCTCCCGACTTTTTTAACGTACGATATTTTTTTCTTTCTCTATAGAATTGTGCAATAACATTTTTTATTTTTCTTTTCACTTCTTCTATATTTGAGCCTGTTTTTTCTGCCAATGTTGTCCAAGCATCGTGTTTCGCATTTCTACATTTATACTGGGCGTGCTTTGTATTCCATAAACACTCACAAGCTTATAGTTTTCGATTAATTCGAGTACTAACTCATTTGTCCACATGAACGGCATTTTTCTATTTTTTCACACGTCCGACCGACTATAAATTATTCCACGTTCGCCGTCGAGCTGCACTAGACAAAAACAAGTCACTACAAGTTGCTGTATCTCTTTCCACTCAGACAACAATATGTTTATGTTGCCTGTTGTTGCCGTATTTCTTTTGAAGTTTACCGCTAAAACTGGAAACCACCAACAATCGCAAACATGCAACATTTGTTGTCGAAACAAGAAGAAACACTTAGGAACTTTGAGGAACTTTGCGAAACATTTTTAAGCAACAAGCAACAGAAACACAAAAGTTCCTTCATGTTCCTCTGGTGGAAACTATACTATAGACAAGGTACGTGTTATAGGTAAAAATTTGGAGACCTTTTCTATTGTTCTGAATAAACTTTTACAAGAATTCTCCACTAGTAGTGTCAGTAATCCTTAATCCTTAATCAGCATAATAATTACCTTATTCAAATCGCTTGGTGACACAAACTAAATTTTTACAATAATCTCTCCTCTTAGAAAATATTTGCGTATTAGGTAGTTGCTTTATTAAATCAATAAAAATTGTCCCTATTAGAATTTATTTAAATTAAATTCACGATACCAAATATAATTTCAACTCAATAAAAAAAGAAAGTGATAATCTCTTTCTATCTATTTTTCTCTTTGCTCTTTATACTCTTTCAATGGTCGCTAGTTTTTATTCTCCTTATCATTCATCTCTGTCTGCTATTCTCTTATTATACTCTATTGCAGAATATTTTTATGCGATGCACGTTTCACAAACGAATATCAACAGAATTGCGAACGTTGTTCGTTTTAATGAACAAGGCCTCTCTAATTGTAGAATCAGAGAATATATTGCTCAACTTAGGGCAGCTTATAAATCATATTTGGATGCTTTGGAAAACCTGGCTGACGACGAAACTATTTAGACTTTTTTAAATGTTCGCAAACATTTATTGTTTAGGTCTTCTTTGCTTCCATCTATTAAACACGTCATACACTAACATCTTTTGCAGGATCTAGTTTGTATATTTTTCCATCTCAGCAAATTTTGGTCTGGATTTTTTTTTCTATGGTCTCCAATATTCTTACTTGCTTCAAATGTCAGGAACGAAATTCCATTCCGCTACGTATCTGGCATCTTTTGCAACTTTTCTCTAGAACTTTTTGTCCCTTTAAATTTTATTAAAATTGATTTAAAGATTTTGCATAATAATTTTGCGATCCAAATTTTGCCAATTTTTTTTACTTATAAAAAATTGCACGACAAAGAATTTCGTGTCACAATAGCTCACACGATTAACAAAATAATTTCTTCATCCAATATTTTTTCTTCTTCTTTTCAAATGTTAAGGATAATAAGCACAATGCTGCTATTTTCCTCCTTTCCTAGTTGGATAGCAAATCGGAGTGGGAGTGGAGGCGAATATCCAACTAGTAGTCCTACTAAGTGGGACCGCAAGTCCGAACGTGAATGCCCAGCTTCACATATACTGTATGCTATTTATCTATTAAAACAATTGACATTTTATTTTTTAACAAATTTAATTCACTATTTTTTAATATATGCCAATAATTTTAAAGTTTTTAATTAATTATTTTTACAGTTTATAAAATTGGATAAAAACCGTAGTCGTTAGTTCCACAGATGTTACTGCCTCTGGCTATTCTTATGTATCCATTTTCTCCCCAACTGCTCCCCCATGAATTTTTAAGGAGAATGTATTCATCAGTATATCCTACAGCAACAACTGCATGTGAATGTGGTCCGCAATCTGTTTTGTTAAAAATACCGTCTGTGTAGTGCATCCAATGATTTACACCAACTGCGACAGAAACTGGCCCAATTTTCTCTAAAATGAATACAATATTTTATAGTAAGTATATATATTTTATAGTAAGTATATAAGCGCTAAATCACAAGATATTCTAAAAAAACGACGACAACTACTGAATGAAAACAAAAGAAATACAGTGGAATATACCGAACTGAATAAAACCATAAGAAAACAGATAAAGGAAGATTTAAAGAAATACCAAGAAGACCGCATTAAGAAAACATAGAGAAGAACAAAAGTTTACAAACAATGAAGACAAATATAGGAAAAAGAAAACTAATCATGCTTAAAGGCTGAGAACAATGAAGAAAGAGATCTAGGAGAAATAGTAAAAATCACAGAAAGATATTACAGAGACCTATTCAGTTCTAAGAATGACCCACCACTATCATCTAAACAGAATCTCACGAGGAAAATACAAAATGTTGGCTCAGAGGTATTACCAGAAATAACTGAAGATGAGATGAAATCGAAAAATCCATAAACGACATGAAAAGAAATAAAGCGGCCGGTGAGGACAAAATACTGGCGGAACTGCTAAAAGAAGGAGACACGATAAAAAAAATGCTAAAAATACTGTTCAACAAATGTCTGTTTGAAGGTAAAATACCCAAACAATGGAGAAATGCCAACACAATCTTAATACATAAGAAAGGAGACCGAACAGACCTAAACAACTACCGTCCTATTTCCCTTTTGTCAGAACTATATAAAACCTTCACAAGAATAATAAACAACCGACTAACCTATAAACTTGATAACTACCAACCAGTGGAACAGGCCGGATTCAGAAAAGGATACAGCACAATCGACCATCTACAAACGCTTAAAATCTTAATTGAGAAAACCAATGAATACAACCTTCCGCTGTACTTAGCATTCGTAGATTATGAAAAGGCTTTCGACAGCATTGAACACTGGGCGGTTGAAGAAGCTCTGGTCAATAGTAGAATAGATTCAATATACCGACAATTGATACATGATATTTACCAAAACGCAACCATGACCGTAATTCTGGACGACAAATTAATAACGGATAATATAAAAGTTAAACGAGGAGTCTGACAAGGCGATATAATTTCACCTAAACTGTTTACCTTGACCCTCGAAGACATAATAAAATCAACAGATTGGGAAAACAGAGGAATATGTATTAACGGAAAATACCTAAATCACCTTAGATATGCGGATGATATACTCCTGATCTCCTCGGAACGACAAGAACTGGAATTAATGATGAATGAACTTCATGAAAAATCACTGCAAAAAGGCCTAAAAATTAACTTCAACAAAACAAAAGTAATGACAAACACGGAAGACCAAGAGGCAATAAAAATAAAAACAGACAAAATAGAACAGGTAAATGAGTATATCTATCTAGGACAAGCAATCAGAGCTAATAGAGAAAATCAAACAGCCGAAATATCGACACGAGTAAGAATGGGATGGGCAGCGTTCGGCAAACTTCTTACGTTCTAAAAAATCAAACAATTCCTCTATACTTACGAAGCAAGGTATATAACTCCTGTATCATACCGGTGCTCACCTACGGAGCACAGACATGGACATTTACACAGGCCAATTTGAATAGGATAAGGAAGGCACAAAGAGCGATGGAGAGACAAATATTGGGTGTATCACTTAGAGATAAAAACGTAACCAGTGGATCAGAACCAAACAAAGACAGTAGACGCGATAGAACAAGCAGCAAAACTGAAATGGAAATGGGCTGGACACAATGAACGTCTCCAAGACGACGACGGAACAATGTCATCGGAAAGTGGCGTCCATACAATGCAAAGAGATCAAGAGGCAGACCACAGATGAGGTGGAAAGATGACATCAGGAAACAAGGAGGTCCACATGGCAGAGAACAGTTCAAGATAGGGAAAGATGGAGAGAACTGGGGGAGACCTATATCCAACAATGGAAGGATAGAGAATAGGTTCAAAAAAAAATATAAGTATATTTTTATTTTTCATATTTTCATATTAGTTATTTAAAAATTATATCCTATTGTCTTAAAGTAACAATTGGGATAGTTAAAGGAAAAACGGGAAATAATTTTAAGGTCTTCCTCTCTATTTAATCCTAAAACCCGGAGGGAGTTTAGCGGAAATCGTGATGTCGTGTATTGTCTGTCTTCAAAGATCTCTGTCTCTGTTTATTTCTTTTAATTCGTGCTAGGTCTTTTGCATATTTCTGTAATTTTATCGATCTATCTTGTTGGATTAGGTTGGATAAATGATGAACAAAGAATATTACAGCAGGAAGTTTATTCTGCAATAACACAGTTAAGCAGAATTACTTGAATTAATGGACAACGAGTCAATAGCAATAATCGCAAATATATTCAGCAATATATAAAACTCTGGATAAATACCAACAGAATTGGTAAAATCTGAGTTAATTGCACTTCCAACAAAAACAGGAGCCAAAACATGCGAAGATTACTGTACTATAAGCCTCATGAATCATCTTCTAAAATTGTTCCTAAAGATAATTCATAAGAGAATCTACAAGCTGTGTAAAAGTCAAATTTTTCCCATACAGTACAACTACTTCGGCACCATAATAAATGAAGAATAGACCAACAACCAGGAAATTAGAGCACGCATCAGAAAAGCTAAATCCACCTTCAATCGGATGGGGGCCTTCTTCAAGAGTCACAATCTCTCTCTATATCGGAGAATACTTTAGATGCCGTGGACTGATCGAGTCACAAATAAGGAGGTCTTCAGAAGAATCTGCTACAGATAAGATAAAGATTGTCATAATGACCGTCAACATTCGTAACGGATAGAAAGATCAAGAAGAAGAAGATCTTGTTGGGGATCTTCCTCCTGATCTTCTGCTTTCTACCTTTCCTTGGATAATAAGTCTTTCCATATTCTCTGTGTCTGCTCTAATAACATATTCAAAGAATTTCAACTGTTGGAGGTGGAGTTTGCTTGAATAGCCGTTTGATGACTTTTTGCATATTTAGAATTTAAATATTAGCCTTGTGGTCCGTCTACGGAATTCGTAACATTCTTCTCCAATAGAACATTTTAATGGCGTTCATCTTTTTTCTTTCCACTAGTTGTAGGATGCAAAAATCACATCCGTATATCAGTACTAAGAATATTAAGTAGTTGATCAACCTCATTTTTAGACTTTGTGAAATTTAAGAGTCCTTCCATATTTTGGCCATCTTTTCTACAACGATTTTTGCTAGTCTACGTTTTATTTCTTCCTGTAATGATCCTGTGTTTGTGATTTATGATCCCAGATATAAATATGAGCTCACAACCTCTAACCGGTAAATCGTGGTCATGTGTAGATGATTGTTATGTAGTATATTCACTATCATGATCTTCGTTCAGTTGGGTTTTCAATCAGTCGTATAAGATCAATTAACTCTTATTAACATTTGTAATATTAAGGTACTACGAAATAAATCAGTTTGGTTCACTTGGTAAAAAATATTCTAATACCAAAACAGACTTTAGCAAAATCGCTAAATCGTCCTCGGAAGGGGAAACGAAAGTCAGAACTTCAAGTCGAGCATAAGGATGAACTATCTGCTGCATCAAGCTTACCGTTCTCCATCAAAATATCTCTAAACCGGATCTTAAGTGAAGCTACCTGCTGCAAGTACAATTTAAAAGTTTAGATACGCTGAAGATAATCTGTGTAACTGTCACTCTGTATAAATAAATGATTATCTGCTTGTGTGCAAGCAGACAGCTACAACAAACCTGTACTCAGAAAGACTTATGGTAATCCAACGAAAGAGTACTGGATGTTGTAAAGCTCTGAAAGTGTCACACTTTTACTGGAATTAATTTAATCCACTAAAAATACAAGTTTTCAGGTTATTAGACTGAATAATTAGCCTGATATTAAAGCGGTCATGGTTGCGCTTAGAAACCTTAAGGTGAACTCTAGACTATTATGGAAAAGCTGATAAGAATATAATTGACATGTGAAAAATAGCAGTTTTCTATAGGTACGTCTTACAAGGGTTCCGCAATTAAAGAGCTGATAAGCTTTGCAAAAAAATCACAGCTAGAAAATTTTTTGGTCCAGACATCACAGCATAACTGTTATTATAAAATGAGAGTCACACATATCAAGCACAAGGTAAAATTTATAATAAATTGATATGTGCTAATAGCGTTACAATACTACGGAAAATACAAGGGAGCTTTCCAGTGCAGTCAGAATTGAAATACGCTGATTACTTACCAATAACTGAAATTAAATCTTTTTCAGTTGGATTTACTTTCTTATATCCTGAGATAGAAGTAATTGAGATAAAGTAATGAGATAAAGAACTTTTTGTATGTCATTCTTACACTTGGTCTCTCTTGCAACGTATGGATAATTCGCTTCAGAGCTCAGACCTTCTGATTTAACAAAATCGAAAGCCCGATCCATGAACCCACCGTTACAACCACTGTTTTCCGTAGAGCAATCGATGAGATGTTGAGGGCTTAAAGAAATTTTTTGGTTTTTGTGAATTGCTAGTTGTCCCTCCAGAGCGCCACCCTAAAAAATAACACTTTATTGTTGTTTGACTTTTGAATTTAATTTAAAATGGATCTTTAAGTAGATAGTAGAAAAACTTAAAATAAATTTTAAATAAAAAAATTTTCAGTGTAAAACTTTAGAGATGTACTCAACCTAATTTTGAACACAACTTAAAAAGACCAAGTTTCAAATTACGTGGATATAATTCACTTATGATTCCATTTATTCAGCCATGAGATTATATGCGGAGGAGACCTTAACGCCAGAGTAGGAAAACAAGTACTAAGTAAAGTGGTAGGCATGCATGGAGAAGAAACTGTTAACAACAACGGAGAAAGACTCATAAATATATGCCAACAATATAAGTTAAAGATTTTGAATTGTTTTTTCGCCCACAAGAACATACATAAATACATCTGGTATCAGCACACAAGAGGTCTAAAATCGATAATAGATTATTTCGTAACAAGACAACAAACTAAGTTAAGAGTACAGGACGT